TACCCAGAACTGAGCACAGTACCTGCATGACAAAATAAAGAACATCTGCTGCATTGTGCAACTCGCTAAGGACAACTTAGGAAGGGCAGTCAAAGCGAACCAACTTACGCCTTGCCAGTGTATTGACGGTTTGGATGCGGTACATGATTCTGGAAGTGGCATTGAAAGCTTCAGTAGTGACAATGAACGTGTTGCTAGGACGTGGCAGCTCGAGACTGAGTGCACCAACTGAGAACTCGCCCACCTTGACAACAGGGGAGCCAGAGGCGTCAACTGGTACTGCAGTCACTTTGACTCCATCTACGTGGAGGTCAGCCAGTCTCTGGCTGTCCCAACTCACCTTGTAGGTGTGAATATCTACGAGGCTCCAGTTGAAGTGTTTCCAAAGTACAGTCCCCTCCGTGTCGTTGGCCTTTGTCAAATTCACTTCTACAATTACGATGACAACTTGACCTTATCACGCTTGCCCCACCCACGCTAGTGCATGATGCAGTCCTCTCTCAAGCACCTCCTACATTTCAGCGACTGAAGCAAATGAATCCGCGTCTCCGTTTTCACGTCTGCTCATCGCCACAACAAGAACTTATCATAAGAATGACCACGCAACCACGAAGGGAAGGCAGTGCACAAAATAGTTTCGCATTTCCTCCATCAAAACGCTGCTCTCATTGCCCACAACTTTTCCCGCCAACACTGCAGCATTGAACCTACAACCGCATGTCGATTTGCTCCACAACTTGAAGTCCTGCCACACTTGCTGCCACCTTCCTTGACGTCTGCATGCACGCATTGCTAGGCAATGCACTGCAGTGCACCGCGATGTGGCATAACGCTTTGTAGTTTATTTACCGACAACGCCTCAACACGTGCGTTACTGCAGCAGATTTCGGTGGGATTATCGTCACTCCCTCGGATACTGTGCATGGTGACGGGCAGTGGCAATTGAGCATTGACAGAGCAACTCCTACCTTCGCCATCTCACTTCCAAACGTACACATCAAGAGTCAAATTGGCATTTCTAAGGCGCACTCACTAACTGAATTTCTTGCTGCTGCCAATGGGTGCAACGCCACTAACCATGTTGGAAGAGAAAACGTTGTATCCTTGGATGACCAAATGAAGTAGTCATT